TTTACATTCCCACCAACAATGAAGTAAGGTTCCTTTCTGTCCACATCCCCTCCAGCATCTGTTGTTATTAGAGTTCTTGATTTTTGCCGTTCTTTCTGGGGTGAGGTGATATCTCAATGTTGTTTTGATTTGCATTTCTTTTATGGCTAGGGATGTTGAACATTTCTTCATGTGTCTATTGGCCATCAAGAAGGAAATTTTTTAATGCCATGGTAAATTGTAAAATATTGAGAATCACCACCATGAGCGAAGAGATAGCACAAATAATATTGTTGCTGAAACAACTTCCTCATTACTATCTCTTAGAAATATAATAATAGAGATTTTAAAAGATGGACATCTTAGGGTGGAGGGGTATCTAGTTCACTGGAATTTACCTATACTGAGTGCTCTCCTGGGGTAGATATAAAATATGCAGTTCTATCAAATCTTTCTGAGATCAAAGCAGCAGAAAAGCTCTCAGTTTTATAGCACACCTACAATTGTGCTGTCATATGTGACTACAGAGATGAAAGAAAGAAAGAAAGAGAGAGAGAAAGAGAGAAAAGAAAGAAAGAAAAAGAAAAGAAAGAAAGAAAGGAAGGAAGGAAGAAAGAAAGAAAGGGCAAGCAGTCAAGTGTTAGGCATGAATGCTGATGAAGGTATTATGCCTTCCTCTCTGCTTATTTCCTTCCTGACTTAATAGCTCTGAGTCTATAGGTCTAATGATGATAATGGCATTTATAGAGCTTGTGATCCATCTCAGCCTCTTCTAAACACGGCATACATTGATTTATTTGATCCTCACAGCCCTTCAAGTCACCTTCTAGTCTGCTCTGTTTTACAGATAGAAAAACCAAAGGACAGAGAAGTTAACTCCCTGCCCCCAAAGTCACACAACTTCTAAAGGCCAGAGTTGAGATTGGAGCCTAATCTGACTCCACTGTCCACCCTTTCAACCATAAGAATTGTGTCTTTTCCATTTAGTTGCTGGGTAACTGTAACTTCTTGCCTTGCCAAGATGGAGGCATTTGTAAGGAGGCTTCTCTTTCCAGAATGTTGCTTGACAGAAGGGACAGATTAGGAAATTGTCAGGCCTACCTACTAGCAACTCAATAGCAAAAACTTTAACAGCGAGAATGAGAAGCTGTGTGTGTAAAACTTTCTATAAAGGACTCATCTCAAAGTTCTCCTGTCCAGCATGGATATGACAGTCCTATGTTGAGTGTACCTTGGATCTTCGGTGTAGGAGGTGGTCTGAGAAAGGGTGCAGACATGTGAACTTCTAACACTTTCATGGTGTCTTCTGATTGAAAGAGTTGTTTATAATCTCCCCTGACATGCACACAACAAAGCTATTCAGGAAGCTGAAATCTGAAGGTTGTGGTTTGAAGCCAGCCCAGGCATGAAAGTCTATGAGACTCTTACCTTCAGTTAACCATGAAGTGGAGCTACAGCTCAAGTAGTAGAGCACCATTCTTGAGTGAGAAAGCTAAGGGTCAGAGCCCAAGCCTTGAATCAGAATGCGTGCATGCGCGCACACATACCCTCTCCTCCCTTTGGCTTTTGGCTTTGAGACAAGTATTTCACAGTGATATTTTGAAATAATTCTTCAGTGAATGTGGGTATGGCTATTTATCCACTCTCTTACACAATGTTGATGCAAACAGTACTGACATAGATGTTTTTGTACATGTTTACATGCTTTGGAGCACACACCTTGCTCAGGTCAATTATCATGTTCTGGCATCGAGTTTACCACATTTTTCCAAGATGTAATGCTTTCAGACATTTTTGATGACCATGAAGTGATACCTATCAAGATGATAATTTATACCTACCTAATGAAAGCTGTTCACTATCTTCTTACAACTTTAAGCCATTCAAGGTTTCTTCTCTGTGATTTACTGGTTTCTAGCTTCTGCCCAATTTTCGAATTTACAGGTATTTTAATTGTTGTGTAGGAGTTCTCTTCATGTTCTGAATAAGAATTCTCAATTAAATAATCTCCTACTCCACAGTTCATCATGCAACCTTGTTTACAATGTGATTTATTATTTAGACATTTTTAATTTTAATACCAAAATGAGCAATACATTCTTCTATAATTTGTGCTTTTATTCTTGCTTTAGAAATGTTTCTAATATCTTTAGTGAATTTTCCTACATTTTCTTGAAGTATTGCTTCTCATCTTTAATTTTACTGTTATCTTTGAATACAGTATGAGGTTGCAATCCAATTTTCTTTCTATTTAGGTATCCAGTGGTCTCTGCATCTATTACTAAATAATTTATCTCTTTTCAAATAACATAGTTATAATCATGTTGTTTCTCTGTAAATAGAAGCCTGATCATTGTCTATTTCATTGGTATATTTAATTACCCAAATGACAATGATGTCTTAATTTCATTGTCCCTATAAGTAAATTTGATATCTAGTAGATCAAACTGCTCCAGCTTTACCCTGTTTTCAAATTTATCAAAGCTATTCTTGTGAGTTTTTTCTATCACTTACTTATTTTCCTTTTAATTGACTGTATCCTGGTCCCTTAAGAATTACTATTTTGGGGAACCCTATTACATTGTTGGTGGTAATGTAAACTTGTTCAACCAATTTGGAAAGTAGTATGGAGGTTCCTCAAAAGGCTCCACATAGAGCTCCCCTATGACCCAGCAATCCCACTTTGGGGCATTTACCCAAATGTTCACAAACTAAAGCTATCAGCACAACTATGTTTATTGCACCATTATTTACCAGAGCTAAGATATGGAACCAACTCAGATGCCCCTCAGTAGATGAATGGATCAAGAAAATGTGGTATATATACACAATGGAATTCTACACCTCCATCAGAAAGAATGACATTTCCCCATTTGTTAGGAAATGAAAAGACTTGGAAAAAACATATTAAGTGAAGTAAGCCAGACCCCCAAAAATGTAAGTCCCATGGTTTCCCTCATGTGCTGGGTGCTGAGCTCTTCAGCTCAAGGCGAGCACTCTACCACTTGAGCCACAGTGCCACTTCCGGTTTTCTAGTGGTTCATTGGAGATAGGAGTCTCACGGACTTTCCTGCCCAGGCTGGCTTTGAACCATGATCTTCAGATCTCAGCCTCCTGAATAGCTAGGATTACAAGTGTGAGCCACCGGTACCTGGCTATGTCTTACTATTTTTAATGAAACCATTAAGTATATATTTCCCTCTAATTATATCTAATTTTCATCCCACAAGTATTTTGCCAGTTTTTAATATTTTTAATTTCTACTGTGCAACTCATTTATTTGTTTTGTATAATTAATATGGGCTAATAAAATGATTGAAATTAAATAAATAAAATCAGTAAACTT